GATGCCCCTTAGCCTTGCTCTCCTCTCGCAACCCCATCCATCCCTGAGTCCATAGCAAGCTCGTTGAATAGATTTTCCCTCTACCGGTGTAAGTTGAAGAAGCTCAGGGAGTGGGTGAGTCAAGAAAGAGCCGTTGGAGAAAGATCTACGAGATACAATGAGTGATTATAGTTCAGAAGTAGACTGACAGCTAAGAAGAAGAGATCTGGTTTCATCGAAGAAGTTCAAGTTCATTCTGGATAGTTGGGATTTAGAGATTTACGATGATTTATTTCTCCCCTTCTTGTTTCTGGATCTGTTGGTCTTACGCCATGTTCTGGATAATCGTTCTCCTATTACTCCTCCATTGTCCCCGTCTTCATCACATCTGAGAGTGAACTAGTGATTGTATTAGGTTGTTTTTATGCATCTCTCTAGATCTTGGCGTGAGTTAGTTATTCGAAGTCGTGTAATCTCCTATGTAATTTCATATTTGCGAAATGGAACCGCGTTGTCCCCATTTGGTTCTTAGCTTTGAATCTCGGGACGAGATTCTTTTTAAGGGGGGTTGGTTGTAACACCTCTGGTGTTACGAGCTCGCTTAGCACCTAAATTAAGGTCTAACATAAATTTAACAAAGGCAAGTTCTCGGGTTTAAAAATTTAAAACGCACATGAAATAATAAATAATTTTTATAAATAGAAATACAAATAAAACTTGCATTTGGTATTTAAATAATTTTTGAAGTACAAGATTGGTAGATGAAAATGCAACTTTAGTTTTGGAAAACAAAAATGATAACTGGCATTTTTGTTAACTCAGAAATCAAATTTGAAATTAAATCAACTCTTCTCGGTTAAATCGGCAAACGAATGAACGTATGTTTAAAAGTGCCACTTTCGACTAATTATATCGAGCAAAGTAATTAAATAGTGCTTAAACATTTTGTTCCTATGGTTTAGTATAAAGTATGGGCTTTTGCATGATATGTTTGTTGGGTGAAAATAATAGGGTTTAGACTATTTAAAAGTATTGACAAAAGTGTAAGTGGTTGTTAGTTCTAACCAGACCCTTAAACTTTTCTAAATCAAAAAGGGTAGTTGACGATGCTATTTGGCATTTGAATGATAGTAAAATTGTTTATACACTTGTTTCATGTTTTTGTGCTATTGGTTGACTCTAGGCGAGCACTTGAACATGGCATAGGTTGCGGTTGTGTTGAACGTCGTTTCGCTCGCTCTAAAATTGTCCAAACTCCGCTAGAACGCGTTTTGAACCCTGTGTGGACGCTCTGTCCGCAAGCCGGCACGTCCTTGGCGAACTCAAGTTGGCATTCTCTTATCTCCCTCCCTGGTTGTTCTCTGGCCGTGTTGATGGCTTCGCTAGCTAGCTGGTAGTACCGACTTTGGGTTCGTGCAATTGGTTGAGCCTCAATCCAATTGCTAAGTAGTTTTTGCTTCGCTTTAAAAAAGCGTGCGTAGCACCGTTCCATCCGTTCGGGCTCTGGGTGTGCGGTCACCGCGTGCCGCGTGCTGCTGGCGCCACACCGATGCACCGTCACGCAGGGCCGGGCCGTCGCTACTGCCACCACCGTTCGGCTATCGTGGCACTCACCCCGCCCTCCGTTGCACTGACTTGAGCTAGCGATGTTGCCGTAGCGTAAAAGGTCGCCGGACCCCGGTCCTAGAGCGACAGGACGCTTCCCTGCCCCGCCCACCAAGTCGTGGTGTCGTGTGCCACTGCCCCCGTGCTGCTGCGCTACGCGACGTTGAGGGTCACCTCGCCTCAGCCCTGCTGCCCCGCGGCACACGAGGTCATCGCGCTGTGGTGTCCTCTCTCTCGCTAGCCGACGCCACCGCGTGGGCCTGGGTCACACTATTGCCGCTGCCCTCTTAACATTACCACCAACGCTACCGCTCCCTATCGCAATTCAATGCTCTAGTAGTTAGGTTTGGGAGTTAGATAGCCGTCCAAGCCGTCGCCACTCTCCACGACATGACCGCAGTAGAGTACCTTCGCGTTCAATAACAGTGCTTCCTTCGACTTCCAATTTTTGCACAGCTTGGTCTTGCAGCAATTCCGCGCACCCACATGTGGCATAGGCAGTCAGCTAGGTGCCCCACTAGCTTTGAGTTCAGCCATGGGTTGTCGGCCGCCAATTTGGTGTGTTGCTCGCCGCCGGCCAAATACGCCGCCGCATCGGTGAATCGGGGAGGTAAGCCCGTAGAGATGGCAGCAGTTCAATTCCTTATACCACTGAGCTCTCATCGACTTCCTCTACCTGGTGCTCGCCTTCTTTTGGCCAGGACGTTCGTCAATGGCGTGCTGACACGGCCATGTCAGCTGCGGAACGTCGCCACCATGCTCACGCGCACGTGTCCAGGTCATCTCGGGTCTCCTCTGCTTCAATCGTCACCACAGCACGGACCGCGATGAGATACCGATGCTTCCCCGCCACCTCTACCGCTCCGTTAGCACGTAGGTCCACCGGGACAGCCACGCCGCCACCGTGAACCTCCGCCGCCGCTGTAGCTCATGTTAGTGTGGCTCCAAGCTCCAAATCGACACCCAGTGTCGACGTCTAGGCTGTATATGGAGGTCGGCCCCTAGTTGGCCCAGCACGGGTCCTAGGTGCCCGACGTAGTGGTCGAGTGCCGGCCGGAGCCGCACCGGCGTGCGCAGGGCCGCCGAGGACCGCGCAGTTGTGAAGATGGGATAGTCCGGGGGTCTGTTCGCAAAGCGCTCCACTGTAGGAATAGTGGGTAAAGTGGTTTTGCTATTGCGTGGATGAGCAGGGTCTCTTTTGCAAAATCACGCGTGGGCGCGTGGCTCCCCACCCTAGGCTGTTGTTGGGCTGTCTCGGCCGAGCGCAATCGCGCTCCCGCGTGGCCTCCTGCGGGCCGCTAGGCCGAATAAGTTGCCGCCGGCCCTTTTCATTTCTAAATGCATTTTTAATTTAGTTTCTAAAGCCAACTTGCAAATTCAATATAAATTTGGGTATGTATCCGAAAATTATGAAACCAATTTTGTTAGGTTACTAAAATCATGATCTATCTAAAGGTGTAATTGGTTCACGTAGTTTTATAATATTTTTAGGCTTGCTCTAATTATTTTGAGACGCTTAAGATTATTAAACATGAACTTGTAGGAAATTTTTATGTTTAATCCGTGATAGTATTGATTCTAGAAATTTTACAGTAGATTCTTAGTAATACTATATGTCCACTGTAAATTTTGTAGCTCCAAAATAATTAGTTCGATAAGAAAGTTAATGAACCCTAGTTTAAATATCTATTAAATAGATAAAATGAATAAAGCAACACTTTGGGTTCATATAACTAAAATACTTGTTGGGGAAAATAATGTCTTATTCGAGACATGGAATAATTATGAATAATAAGTAGAGACCGGGTGGGACTGAGCTTGGATGGACTTGGACTTGGTTGGACAGGCTCTGGTTGCATTTGTCCCGCTAGTTAGTCTACTCCTGTGCAATTAGGCACATGAGTAATTAGGCTTAATAGATTCGTCTTGCCAATTAGTCTACTCCTGTGCAATTAGTTTTATAATTAACTCATGTTTAGTCCTCCTAGTTAGTATCCAAATGTCCGTTGTGACACGGCCTAAACTTTAGCCCTAGATAAATGACTATGTGTTGCCACATTTTTGCCGATCTTTACTAAATGTGTGGTTAACAATTTTTTTTGCTCTACCTTAGGCATGATTTGGCAAAGAAATGGAGCAATCACCGGTGGGCTGTGGTAGAAGTGTGAGAAACTTAGTTGGGTAGCTGTGGTTGAAAGTTAAATGACAGCCTTAGTAAGAAACTGATGCATCACGCATTTAATCTGCAAAGGGCAATGTTTGGTCATGAGCTAAAACACACGCTTTGGTAGGTAGACATGCAAAATCCTTTTTCGAAAGCATGCTTAACACGTGTTTCATTAAGAAGAAGTTAGGAACATACACCCTGTCATCACATCACAGCGAGGTACCATTAGTGATATGATGGAACACGAACAAAATACACCGCAAGACGAGAGGACACACGCTGTTGTTGTGACTAAGAAACTGATTATGCGATTGAAGAGCTCGCTCCTGTCCGCTAGGACTAGGAGACTAGCGCTCAATCCAACACAGACGTGCAAAATCCAAGTCACGGCCTTGCAAAGTAGTCTTGCAGTATGTCTTCGAGACCAGTACCTAGACCAAACTAAAACGAAGAAGTTGCGATTGGCTTCTTGTCTAGCAGCCTTTTGGTTCTGACGTTTTGTTGCTGTCTTGTACATCGCGGTGGGGCTAAAATGTGCATCCAGCGATGGCGGACACTTGACACAATTGTCCTCCGAGTAGTAGTAAATCAGAAGGTGAAATGGCACGATGACAAGAGTTGAGTTCGACGGTTGTAACTTTAATGTCTAACCTATAAATATAGGATGTGTTTGGTTGCAGCTCAACTTGGCCCTGGCTTCTTTAGATTAAGGCTTTATTTAGATTGTAAGTTTTTTCACACTTTTCTATCACATCAAATCTTTGGATATATGTATGGAGTATTAAATATAGATAAAAAAACTAATTACACAATTTAATTGTAAATTATGAGATAAATCTTTTGAGCTTAGTTAGGCCATGATTGGATAATAATTGTCAAATACAAACGAAAGTGCTACAGTGCTTTAAATACTGATTTTTAACTTCAATCTAAACAATTCCTAATTTTTTGGTGTTTGGTTCACTGGCAAGGGGCCTAGGGCCTGGCTACGAGTAGCCAGCCGTACCGCTCGAGCCTGGCCCAACTGTGATCACCGAATCGGTGATTCTCCTGGAGCCATGCCCAAGCCAGCCCCCGGTTTCGTTCCCCTCACCTCCCGACGCCCCTTACCGCACCGCACTGCCCGTCCTCCTCCCCGCCGGTGCTCGTCCTCCCCACCGGTGGTCCTCCACGCCGGTGCTCCTCCTCCCTCCCCCGGCGGTGCTCCTCCACGCAGCGGTACAGGACGGCGTCACGGACGGAGAGGTGCATGGCGCCGCAGGATCGGCGAAGCTCGGCCCGGAAGCTGGGCTCCCCGAGAAGGCATGAAGGAGGCGAGGTCGCCGGCGGCAGCGGCCCGATCAAACGTCTCGTAGAACTCGCAGAGCGGGGTGGAATCCGGGTCGGAGGCGGCCTTCTCGCGGACCCAGGAGGCCGTGAGGCGGCGGCAGGCGGTGTCGACGGAGTCCCACGTCGCGGCGGCGGACGCCTGCGGGGGGACGCAGAGGTTCTTGCGGGAGGAGAGGCCGAGCGCGAGGAGGGAGCGGGAGGCCGGCGGCGGAAGGTGCGCGAAGAGAAGACGGAGCTTGGCGAGGGTCTTCTCCATCTCATGCACGGTGTGGGTACAGTAGATGAGGCGGAGCGGGTGGGCCGGGTTGGCGAGGGAGTAGGAGGTGATGAGGGAGATGAGCACCGCCGTCTTGCCCGTGCTCGTGCGCATCTCCAACAGCGCGTGCCCGCGCGCGTCGAGGGCGCGCTTCAGCTGCCCCATGTACGCGTGCTACTCGGGGTAGATCGCCGTGTACAGGAAGTGCACCGGCAGGCCATCCAGGTCAAACCGAGCAAATCAGCTCGAGCTCGGAGAAGGCAGCTAAGCGGGCGGCGAGGGTGGAGTCAAGGCTGCTCGGCAAGGAGGAGGACGGCGCCGAGGGACGTGCCCACCGGCTGCTCGACAAAATGCCTTAAAGGGGGTGAACTCCCCAGCTTAAAGAAGAGGTGACTCTATGCAAAGCAAATCGACCAACAAAACAAAACATGTGTGTAGCTAGGCTAAGACAATGCAGACAACTAAACAACCGTGAATTGGCTTAGTTGGAGTAGGCTAAAGTTAGTCTAGCTTAGTTTTGCTAGCCGTCTAGAAAACGAACCAAATACACCCATAGTTTCTCAGATGTCTAACCAAACACCTACCTCTAATGAAATGAAACAATCTTCTAGCCGCATAGGACCTGTTTGGTAACGTGGCCCGACGGCCCAGCTGCACTCTTGAGCTGCAACTGCCGTGTTTGGCTTCCTTGGCCCACTCGCGAGTCCGACTTCCACCGGCCAAAACATACTCTCTCTCTCATGGCTCCCTAAAAACGAGATGAAGGTTCGTTTTTTCTAGGCCAGCCGGCTGAAGCGCTCAGCTCGTGATAGAGTCACCTCCCAACTATTTTGAATAAGATGTCCTTTGTTAGTTCTTGGCTTCATGATTAGTCTAATCAGCATAGACCCGGAAACATGGGTTCTGATTATTTTCGTAGTTCCTCTTTTTTCTGCAAGATTTGTTGTTTCATAGTTCTCTCATATAATCCGTTTCACAGTCCTCATCATTACTAACAATATGTTGTTCTTTGATATAAGTAGTAAGACCTAATGGTGAAAAATATCTTAAATGTACATATGATGTAATCCAATGTTTCTTGACCTATGAAATTGATTTCCCAGCCATGTTGCTTTAACACAGTTGTTGCATAGTATAATGCTTCGGATCTATGCCTACTTCCTACCGAAAGCACACTGATGACAGCTTTGGTGTTTTCCCCGAGGGCATCTAGGCTTGGTCTGTGACTTGATTGCTGGCAGCCCCGGCACCTGTGCCGCCCGGCCGCGGAAGCTCCGGTGCGGTAGCACCTGCACGGGCGCACCCTGGCGCGACTGCCTGGGCAGGTCCCGGCGGTCACAGCGGTAGCCGCTGCTGCCCGCTGGCGGCTATCCCCTCCCCTTCCGTGAAACAATGGAGACAGACACGCGTGCACACAGGCAACCAAGGACCAGCGACCCAAATGTAGGCCGACAGCAAGGTACAGGAGCAACGCTCCGATACAGGTCGATAGCAAGGTATGGGTTTTCCCCCTTTGGGCTATTTGTCATAGGTATTGTTTGTCGACGAAATAATCTACCTACGAAATCTGATCTATCACATTAGTAGCAGTTCCTATCTTTCACAGTGCGCTAGGTGTGTTAAGACATGTGCTGCTACTTTGTTGGTTTTTGTAATACTAAATTCTGCGGCATTGTCTTACATTCCATCAAGTGATATCTTCTAGCACAAAAGTTTTACAACCATGAACATTCCTCTCATTTAAATCTTTTTCCTTTTGCTTTATAGGCACATAGATTTATTGCGGTCATCAAGGAATTGTTGAGGGACGACAACCAGCTACGCCCAAAAGGATAAATGGTGAGACCGTACTGGCACTTCCATTGTGTGATTCAATTATGCCCCTAATGCTCAAACGTGGTGTGGCAGGTTCTAATATTTTTGTAATTCAGTGTGCCATGCCGGAACAAAATTGTGCGATAAGTTCTTGGATTTGTTCTAACGCTAGAGACAAATTGTAGTGTACAATATCATGCCGAGGCTGGGTTTAGTTCTTCTCTAAGGAATACTCAGCCTCCAGCAATCGGCATGTAGCCTTTTGTGATATCGTTACCATCACACTCGCTTACCAAAGCACTAATCTTTTTTCGCAGAATCACAGCTAATATTTGTCTATCTGTCTCCTTATATTATAATATAAATTGATAATCACATTTACAGGAACACGGTCTATGCCACTTTCTACTGTTTTGTTCACTAGCTATGCACTTATATTACTGTCACTTCTGTTTATTACAGGCCATTGTCACTATGATTCAGAACACAGTGGACTAACAACCTATTTATCAGGCACAGACATTTGGCTCTTATGTTAATACTTCATATTCTTACTAAAATGCTGATTCATAGGAAGCTTACCATTATCGTTGTCACAAGCCTGCCTATTCCTACATCATCAAGGCCATGTCCGGGCACAAATTTTATCAATGAAGATCAGTACTACATTATTTGACGCACATCCATCAAAGGAAAAAAAACCAAAGGAGGGTGTGTGATGCTTCTGCAGATATCCCTCCCATCCTACAACTGAAGTGCATCTACTAACAACTGATGATTCGGTATGTGATGCTTCTCAATGTCAAATAGACTAATGCACTACTGGGTTGGGATGATGTCTCTTGCTGTTTTTTTCTAACTTTTGCTTTAGCGACCTCTTCTTTCCATTACTAACAACCAGGTTATTTGTTTTTGAAACAGAGGTTGCACAAGCAGACACAGGTGACAGCCGCTCAAGAGAAGATGTACACATTATTATACACTCCATACTTATACATCACCTATTATGTATATTGCGTTAGCTGCCACATCTATATAAGACATGTAATCTACTCATAGTTGATCTTGTGCTTCTGAAATGTGTAGGTTTTTTTTTTTTTTTTTATGTAGCCAGGCTCTCTTAAATTAAACCATTGCGAGCTTAACAATGACACTTGCATACGCTCGCAAGGGCACGCTCTTTCTACTAGTGCATATCAATCACAAGGAATCATCTATTCGTCATGTGTTATCACAAGCACCCTAAACCATAAACAACCTGATCATCCAATAGAACAGATTAAACATGATATCAGCGCTACTAACCAGAATCACACCATCACAAAGATCACATTGCAACAGGAGGGTCATCCTGGTAACAGAATCACACGATCACAAAGATCGCACCGCAACAGAAGTGTCATCCTGATCACATAGTAACACAACATTAAGAAAATGGTCATGATAACACAGCCTAACACATGGCAGTTCCTTCACGGACATTTCCACGAACACAAGGCATACACCACCAAGTCGACCCAACTAATCCCAGGTTTCCAACCAACAGACACAGGAATTAATCAACAGAATAGCGACGCCCCTTTTAGAGATGAAAAGGGAACTAGGGTTTTAAACATTTCTGGTCGCCGCCCTTGCCAGCAGCGGCTCACTTGGCTAGCATCTGGGCGGCAGCCGCCTCCTGCTGCTGCTGGTAGTTGATCGGGCGGCGGAACAGCATGATGTGCGGCTCGGGACGGTGGATCGCGTAGTGCACCCACCCGCGGCTCTGCTGCACGCCGATCGCGCGCCACTCGTTCTGCACAGAAGAAAAGGGGAAAAAAAAATCCCCCACAAAAACCAGACATCAGACAACCAGAGCGACAGGACGAGAACGCAATCTACAGGAATGCAGGTGAAACCGCAGGCGTTTACCTCGGATAGGAGACGGTTCTTGGGGAGGAGCTTGGCGACCTCGGGCGGGAGGACGACGTGCCTGGGCGGAAAAAGGGGATCCGGTTAGGGTTTTGCCAACACCGCAGACGAAAGAGATGGGGGAAGGGCGAAGATCATGACGGCGAGGGTTTCGCATCTACCTGTACTCGTAGGTGTCGTCGAAGTACTTCTCGGAGTACTGGATCTGACCCATGTCCACCAACACTTCTCGATCGACTTCTCTACAGAAAAATCCCCAAAAATATTCAGCGGAATCACCAGACAAACTACCGAATCGGGCAGCAAAAAGATCAGAGCCACGATTCACAGAGGAACATTTCGCGTACAAGACGAGAAATCGAAGGATTCGGGGGGTGGGGAGTCGACGCGCGTACCTCGGAGCGGTTGCGGTTTTGCGGAGGCGCCAACTCGACTCGAGTCGCAGCGCGGGGAGGAGCGTGTTGGAGGAGACGGTGGTGGGGTGGGGGCGCTGGGAATGGATGGGGAGCGTATTTAAATTAAGAGGAAACGGAGGGACCCGACCGTCGGTGCGGAGATGGACGGGCCAGATGGCCCGGGCAGGATACGGGAAGTAGTCGTTGCGGCTGCGGAATCACGGCAGACGGATGCGGTAGGCAGTGGTGGGCTGGATTTGCGTTCAAATTAGAGCAACTCCAGCCCAGCATGCAAATTGAACCCCTATTTTTTTCATTTGCATGCTGGCCTACAAAAAAATAGGGACCCAAATTTGCTTCCAACTCCAGCCCAAGACCCTATTGCTACCCCTCCAGCCCAAGAACGCCGCCACAGCACGGCGCGCCCACAGCCACACCTGCCGCACCTCAAAGCGCACCGCCACCTCCCTCCGCCGCTTTGCTCCGCTAGGGGGAGTGACCGCCGACTGGGAGGAGAACCCAGGCCGACTCCGACGAGCAAGAGGATCAAGAAGCGCAGAAGCTTCTCCTGGCCACCGCGCCCGGGAGAAGCGGTGGCGCTTCCACTCACTCAGTGCGCCCAGCGCCGCCTCGTCCTCCTCTTCGATTATGGGTGGTGGTCGCCGTCGTCATTGGTCCTTTGAGTTCGGCATCTCGGTAATCAAGCCCTTCCTTTGATGCAAATCAGTATTCAGTGACAATGCATAGTCCAATTCCAAGGTGCACCTAGCAACAGCATGGACTTTGATTCCGAGATGTATTGGTATAGAGATGGTACTGTAGTGTCTGCTACTAGCTACTGCTTATTCAGTTCTCAATGCATATTCAGTTACTGATCATGCAGTATTCAGTTTAATTTCTCCTCAAATTAGTTCAATTGATGTACCTGTAGTATTGTTTTAGATAGTGGGGATGCATGAATTAGTTGATTACTATACTCAATTGTTTTAGACAGTGGAGATTAAGTTGCATTTATGTAAGCATTACAAGTGTTGAAGCATACTAGTTTGTGCTAGAACACATCTACAGTGTGTATGCACTATGCAGTGTTGAAGCATACAGTATGCAGTGTTGAAGCATACAGTATGCAATGTGTATGCCAATTATATCATTGAGTCATGAATCTGATGAGTCATTAATACACTACAAGAACCTAAACATTTTGTTGCTATGGCAGATGTCAAGGTTTGGAACTAGAGCTCGTCAAGGGTGGGATGAAGAGGATGAATCTGATGATGACGACCTCTTCATCATTGCTGGTCTTCTTGAGGGCTCGAGGAGAAACAAGTGCAAGAAAAAGTTTCGTGGATCGTTGTCGGGTCGCCGCAAGGTGCCACGGAACATTTCTGAAGGTCACAATCGCATTTATCTGGACTACTTCGCGGACCAGTGTGTATACACTGAGAAACATTTCAGAAGGAGGTTTCGGATGTCTAGGTCTCTCTTTCTGCGGATAGTGGATGCAGTGGAGTCTCATGATGACTATTTCCGTCAGAAGCCCGATGCCATCGGAACTCTTGGCGCCTCTCCCATACAGAAGGTTGTTGCCGCCGTTCGGATGCTTGCCTACGGTATTTTAGCAGACTTCTTGGATGAGTATGTGAGGATGGGAGAGAGCACAATCATTGAGTGTCTGAAACATTTTGTGAAGGCTGTCGTCGATGTCTTTGGTGAAGAATACTTGAGGGCCCTCAATGCCCAGGACACAGCCAGGCTGTTGGCAATTAATAGTGCAAGAGGGTTCCCAGGTATGCTTGGTTCCATTGATTGCATGCATTGGAAATGGGACAAGTGCCCAGTAGGTTGGAGAGGAGCATACGAAGGGAAGGAAGATGGGCCGACCATGATCCTTGAGGCCGTTGCATCACAAGATTTATGGATATGGCATGCATTCTTCGGCCTTCCTGGTTCTCTAAATGATATCAACGTTTTGCGCCGCTCTCCACTATTTCAAAGTCTGACTTCTGGGACGGCGCCACAAGTGGAATACATGGTCAATGGAAACAAGTACACAATGGGGTACTATCTTGCTGATGGGATATACCCAGCCTGGGCAACGTTTGTCAAAGCTTTTCAACATCCATAGGGTAACAAGAAGATCCACTTCACAATGGCACAAGAAGCAGCGAGGAAAGATGTGGAAAGAGCATTTGGGGTACTCCAAGCTCGCTTTGCAATTGTGCGGGGTCCTGCAAGAATGTGGGACAAGGAAGATCTATGGTATATAATGCAAGCTTGTGCGTCGCCCTCTCTTCTCCAACCGTCGCTGCCTAGCGCAGAACTTCACCGACGAACCCGATGGCGGGATCCGGCTCCTCCTCCTCAACACCTCACTGGTCTGTGCTCACACCTCCCTCTCCGTCCCTCTGTTGTAGTAGTAGATGATGTACTGAATGTTGATTCACAAGTATTGTACCCCAATGATCTACTGTGATTGATCCTAAAGATAACTACAATATGGACCACTGCCCTCACTAGCCGTAGAAAAGATTAGCAGCAGCACTGCAGCGGCGTGGAGCACATGTTGCGATGGTAACCGGGACGGCGGGACCTAGGGCCAGCAGCGATCACGGAACGGGACCCTGTCAACTCATCCCGGCGGCCCAATTAGCGGCCAAGGGTTGTTACAACGATAGGTAATATAAATGATGAAGAACAGTAGATCAATCACAGGAGACACGAGATTTTAACGTGGAAAACCCTCCCAAGGAGGAAGGGAAAAAACCACGGGCACCAGCCAACAAAACTTCACTATATCGGGTGAGGTTACAAACGCCGGGGATTTATAACTTTTCTTATCCTAGAACGGCGACTTACAAGAGGTATATATAGAGATGGAAAACCCTAATAGGCAACGATCCATACCTCGGGGGGCTCCCCCCCCGCCGCACCCTCCAGACATCTCTGGGTGCGGTAGAGAAACGTGATGGGCTAACTTCAGCCTCCGCTTCGTTTCGGCCCAAGCCTCTCGGCGACGGGTCTCGCTTCGCTCCGTCAAAAATTAGTCTTTATCTTATATAACTGAATTTGGATCACAACTTAACAGGAGTCACGTCGCTGGCGCCTCCTAATCCACACGAGCCACGAGTACCCGCCTCCCTGCACGTGTGGCTCGCGGACAGCTGCCCGGCCGGCGCTTTGCCTGAGCTGGCGCCGCAAGCGACCCGCTCCCGCTCGCTGTCTCCATACACCGCTGGAATCATTGAAGAATCCCTCGAGCATCCGAGCTTACCAGATGGTTAACAATGCAGAGTAGGAGTAGCAGACTCTCCACTCGTATCGACAACGTTGTTACCGACCATGACTCTCCAGTCTCCACTCTCCAGTGAAAAAAAGAGAGAAAACTTTCTTGTATTTTTCATCCATGCGAGACGATAACACAGGACAGTGGAGAGATATGGCCGAATTTTTCATCTGGAAGTGGTCTCGGGTGGCCCAGAATTTATTTATTTTATCGGGTTTTGATGACTCGCCTTGTGCAGTTGTGCGTGTGCCTTAAAAATATAATAGTAGCACGTAGCCACGTACATACACAAGAGACCGTACCGAGTTTCTCTTGTACCTTTTCTGGTGATTTCTTTATATTATCGTGTAATAACCATTCATTCCAATCTGTACCATTCCCTCGTTGATCGCCCATACTACAGAGCAATATTTTGTTACATGTAAAATATTTTTTTTATTCATTAGTTTCTTAATGGAGTTTTTATGACAGTCGTCACAAAAAGATAAATCATATAAATTCTTGAAAAGATCTAGACATCAATTGAATAAACCCTAATCACAATTAAATGATTGATAATATTAATTAGGTCATCTATTTTATTTCCCAAAAGAATTATCCATTGGAAAACAAGATAAAGTAAAACCACTCAGAAACTACATGTAAATTGCCAACATATTCTATTGTAATAGCCATAAATTCTGCCCATATATTTGGTCAAAAGATACCTATATAAAATAAATATATATTGATATGCTACAATCATCAAAAAATCTAATCAAAGTTTTAAATTTAAATAAATTTACATGTTTTTTCTAAATATTATGAAATATCTATATTGATTGCATAACTGCAAGCCATCTATTTTGTTTAATAAAAATATTATTACACATATAATTCTTTGATAAGGGAAAATCAACATCTCGAGCAGCAAAGGAGACCGGTGCATAGCAAAGGCGGCAATGACGTCCTTAGTCTTTGAGGTTTATTTTGACTAAATGCAACAATTATTGTGCTTAAATATTAATATATATACTCTCAAGGTCAACCACTACCTGGCAAGTATCGAAAACCGTCAATGAATATCATCGGATACAATAGTTATTTTGTATAATAAATGTTAGTAAAGGAGAGACCCAGTGCCGGAGGCTCCCACATGAGTGGGGTCTGGGGAAGGGAAAAACCGAGGCAAGCCTTCCCCCCGCAAAATCTGCGAAGAGGCTGCTTCGAACCCATGACCTGGCGACTCAGTGAGACAGCTCTCATCACTGCACCAGGCCAGTTTTTTTTTATAATTTTTTGTTAAATTTTAAATCCACGACTCCTCAAAAAGTGGCAATTGTATTTTTCTTTTGCGATGGAGGGAGTAAACGGATAGAGACGACAAAGTCCCTATATATGTATCATGGTGGAAATTAAACAAAAAGATATACTGCAGAGGTTAATTTTTATTGGTCGTAGATACTAAACACGAAGGTATAATGCTTGTGGTCTTAAAATTCTATAGTTTGTGTAGGGATACTACAATAATTTTAAAGAATCACAATATTCACTTGA